AAGGAATGTGTGGGAATCAGAGATCAACCTCAGTTGGCATCCCTTGAAGGTATTAAGCCATTATCTTAACCTCATTTCATTCTAGATCTCTTTTGGGTGGATTTTAGGGCTTTTCTAGCATATTAAGAAGCCTTTATTGTGTTTGAGCTAAGATCTGAAGTTGCAACTTCAGATTCTGACTCTCTTGGGTCTCTAAGTCCATAAAGCTTCCAGCTTTTGCAATAATGAGACTCTCCTAAGGTGTTAAAACTCCATTGCAAGCTTGGATTGTGTTCATTTAGAGTCTCTAGAGCCTGGCATGCACGAAAGTTTGCAACTTTACGTGATAAACATGCCTTGGGGATTTGGATCTGCAATATGGAACCTTAGCATGGCTTAAAAAGCATTTGTTTGGATGAAGGACTGAAGGGACTCGACGAGTTGCATGGTCCACTCGGCGAGTTCGATGAGGACTGTCGTAGACTCGGCGAGTCAGTAGAGTGACTCGGCGAGTCAGCTAGGGTTTTCCCAACCATTGGACACGTGTGAACTTGGCGAGTTGCAAGGGTAACTCGACGAGTTGGCCAAGGAGTTCACGGCCACCAACATTAGGAACTCGACGAGTCACTCAAGTGACTCGGCGAGTCGACGAGTCACTCAAGTGACTCGGCGAGTCGACGAGTTATACAAGGAACTCGGCGAGTGGGTGGTTGTACTCGACGAGTTCATGTCAACATGGACTGTTGACTTTGATAGTTGACTTTGACTTTGACCAAGGGTTGACTATTGGACTTCTGGGGCATTTTAGGAATTTATGAACATGGTTGGGTGGCAAATATAGGTGGTGGAGTTTGAGGCGGTGATCAGAGATTTGAGCTTATCCTTCGAGTCGACAGTTGCGAGTTGAGTTACCTCACTATACTAAGGGGTCTAAGGCACCAATGCCAGCCCATTGGATATGATTTCCTAGTAGTTGGTAGTATGTTGAGTATGAGTTAGTGTTGCATGATAGTTGTTACGCCAGTTAGGTAGATCTGTAGGACTACATGTAGTATCATGTGATTATCTGTATGTGCATTGGTTGTGTTATATGTCGACATATTGTGTGAGATGGGTTGAGGTGATACTGCTCCGTGCGGTAACCAACAAACCCGAGAGCATTCCAGATACGAGCTGAGGGAGACTCGTACTGTGGGCTCGGTGGCAATCCAGATGTGAGCTATAGGCCTGAAAGGCAATCCAGAATCACATTGTGGGCCCAAGGGGGGAAATCCAGCCTGTAAAGTTGTGGACCCAGTATATGTTGTTATTCGTATATATGTTATGTGCAGTGTATCGGTATTTTGGGGGAACTCACTAAGATTTCGGGCTTACAGTGTTAGTTTATTGTTTCATGTACATCAGGGGATCGCGACAAGGCGAAGGCATGATCGTACAGCTCCTCATGTTTTGTTTATGTTTCTGGGAAAACTCTGATATAGACTATTTGAAAACGAATCTGTAATAACTGTTGGTTTTAAATGTTTTGAAAAGTTTTAAATTGGCTTGAATTTTATGGGTGTTACACATGAATATAGTGAGAAGACTCACCTCGGACAGCTGAAACCCACGGATACTCTCTGACTGCAGATCTGCTAAAAATCCCCGTGCTATCAAACGAATAACACCCAATTAGCCATTGGGTTCCAAACCTAATCCAATAATCAATATATGGGTTAAAAAGACTATTTTACTCCTCACCTCTTCTGGTCCAAGACTAAGTCCCAAAATAACAGTCTTATAGGCCCACAAACTAATAATCATCCAAAGCCCACTTATGGCCCAATTTTCCAAATTGGGCCCAAACCCTTACTTGGGCCTTACCCTAAAGCCCACTACTTATCCCTAATCCAAAAAACACATTCTCAGATGGCCGAACAAATCCCCAAGCAACCAAGCCCAAACCGAAGCCCAAATACACAAAACCCACTCAGACCGAGTACGCGGGGCGTACAGGCACGTACGCATAACGTACTCACTTGGAGGCTTGTACGCTGCACGTACCTGCTTGTACGCCCAACGTACTCACCTTATTAAGCCCAAATCCGATTTTCACTTATTCCATTAAGACAAAGCTTTCCAGACCACAGATCTGACCTCCTTAGGGGAAAAGTTGAGGTTCATTCTTCGTTAAGGCTTGTGATATCTGTTATTTTGGGTTTGACATCAGTAAGGGTGGGCGGTCATCAAAGCGAGGTGACTTCCCCAGACATTTTGGGATTCTAGGAGTTCATTCAGTATCGTTTAGTTCGGTAAAGGAGATAGTAAGGAATGATTTTGAGGACGATATCTAATTTAAGTGGGGGAGAGTTGTAAAACCCTGTTCGGGATTATTTTGTGATTCAGGGTCGTGGGCCGGAAGTCGATTTTTTAAAGGCTTCGGGCCTTAAGTAGACGATGTTTAAACCTTTTGGAAGGAGGTAATGATGGTTATGAGATCTAAACCTTTGAATTGTGTTTTGGAGTCAAATGCTAGAATGGGAAAAGTCATAGGCCGAGTTCTTGCATGAAATATGGATTTTTCTTTGAGATTTTTTTAGTCCAAGATATTTAGATAATATTGTAGAGCTCTTCAACACATTTATGTGGATATAAAGATCATCGAAAACGGAGTTGGAACGAAGAAGTTATGACCGTTTGAAGTTAGGGTGGTTTTGGGGTTGAGTCGCGTATGTTGGGTGTACTCAAAGTGTACACTGGTCGTACTAGGGAATCCCTAGTACATTGGGCGTAATTTGAGTACGTTGGGCGTACGCGATCAGTGCCCAAACCTTATTTTTGTGGTTTGAGCCTTATTTAAGCTCTTTAACTCCCCCAAACCCATTTCATTCTCAGCCTCCACCTCTCCAACACCCTCTCTTGTAACCCTAACCCTATATTGAGCCTTGTGAGCAAAAAAAAAAGTGTTTTTAAGTGCTTTGGAGTGTTCTTGGTGCACCTTGGAGAAGAAGGAACTCATTGAAGAAGTGTTAATTGCATTGGATCTTGTAGATCCAGACTTTGTTCGCCTTGATCTTTCTTCTAGAGGTATAAAGTTTAAATCTTGATGATGAAATTGTTAGACCTACCTAGTTTTGGGTGTTATGAGCTTTTGGTCACTCTAAGTGTGTAAAGTTTAGATCTTGAAAGTTTGTCACCTTTTTATGGATAAAGTTGGAAATTTTATCCATCTAAACATCATTTTGATTCAGATTTGAAGGGTGGAGACTTGTACTTAATGGATTAAGTTGAAAAAGATACACTTTTGGGTCCCTTTGAGACTTAAAGACTGGATCTTGTTTGTTGGGAATGGATAAAGTTGGAAACTTTATCCATTATGGAGCTATTATGAACCATAAAAATGTGATCTAGGCCGTTCTATTCCTTCCATACAAGAGTTGTGGTGTCTTATTGGGTTAAAAACGTAGGGTTTTGGACATTACGCACTTTATAGCCATACAAAGTCATAAAGTTGGAAACTTTATGACTTAGGACATCATTTTGGGCTTGGATATGAGTTTTGGACGTAAGGTCTTAATGGAATAAGCTCTTAATGGAGTTTTGGGACAGGATTGTTACGTTGGGCGTACCTGGTGGTACGGTACGCATACGCGGTCTGTGCCCCATTTTTGGTCAACATCAGAGTATGATGGGCGTACTCTCTTGGTACGCAGGACATACTCTGCTGGGAAGAAATATTGAATTTTGGACCTTTACCGTTGACTTTGACTTTGACCAGGGTAATTTGATTTATAATTGAGATTTGGGTTCCTGTTAATTGTATAGGTGACCGGTAGAGATAGTTTTTAGAGCAGTGATCGGTGCAGCTATTCTTTCATACTGTGAGGTGAGTCTCCTCACTAGATCCATGGGTCGAAGGCACCAATGTCAACCTGTTACTTTGTTATGTAGAATGCTAGTTGTCTTTGTGATACTTGCATGGAAGACCAGGATCTGGCTCCTGGGAACTATATGAAAGACCAGGATCTGGCCCCTGGCACTTGTATGAAAGACCAGGATCTGGCCCCTGGCACATTTATGTAAGACCGGGATTTGGCCCTCGGCATTGCAAGGAAAGACCATGATTTGACCCATGGCAGGAAATGATTGTAAGACTATGATTTGGCCCATAGCAATCAATTTCTAATGTATGATATGTGGTATTTTGGGGAACTCACTAAGCTTTGTGCTTACGGTTTGATATTTACGGTTTCAGGTACATCTAGTACTAAGAACAAGGGTTTGACGTGATGGCACAACATCCCCTAAAGTTTTCCGCATTGGCAATTAGTGATATTACTCTGATGTTTAAATAATATATTCCATTTGATCGGTTTTGGAACAACTCGTTTGTATGACTTATTGTTTTAAAAATGAAAATCTTACCTTGGATTTTCGGGACGTTACAAGTTGGTATCAGAGCCTTGGTTTGAAGGATTCAGGCACACTCATTTGTATGTCTGAACTCAAACTGAGGAATTGATAATTTTTTTGAAAGAAAATAAGTTTCTAAAAAGATTTTTGTAAAGAAAATTAATTTTCTGAAAAGATTGTTTCTAAAAGAAAAGGAGGTATGATGCGTGCAATCAGTCGAGCTCAAGTAAGTGATTCCAAGAATATCCATACAGGTTGATATGATATATGAAATGAATATTCACATGCTAGGATAAGGCTTGGGGTACTTTCAGGAATTGCATGATAGATCGGCTTGATATGTGATGCCTTGTAGCCTAGGAAACATTGGATTCTGTGATTGGGAATATGTATTGGTAACAATAATTGCTAAGTGTATGCTTTAAAAATTGTATACGGTTAGGATCGTATATCCCTAGAATGATTGATTTGGCTTTATTTCCTGTTCCTTGTCTGGTTGTGTTCCTAGGGTAGAATCTTTTATTCGATAGTCTATTTGATCCTGGATTGTGTATAATTTGCATGCATAAGGCAACCATAAGTAAGAGTAGAAGTTCCTAGCATGGTAGTAGAAAGTGAGTGTGGGATGCCCTTTGATTGTTTTATGGCTTGGAGTGTCACTGCACGAATGCTGCTTGCTTTGTGCTTTGTGGAACTCTTAGTGATGTGAGTTAACTATTAAGTGAATATGTTAAGCCACATGTTGCA